GGGTTATTTATAATTAAAAAGTTAGCGAATATACCCCTTAGAGCCCAACAAGTTTAAAATTTAATGTAAAGGTAATAATAACACAGCCACACAAAAAAAAATTGTGTTCTGATCTGGGGTCCTGACCATATTTTCTATATATTTTTGAGGTCGCTGAATCCGAATCCGAGGTCTAGTTAACCCCATCATATCAGGATTTTGCCATAACCTTAAAAAACCCATCATATAAGCTATTACTATATATAACCCTGAGAATGTGGTTTTCATATAAAAATCCAAGCTCTTAAATATCACAACTTCATAACTCACATAACTCCATAACCCCATAACTAGGGATGGGATATTTAGGTAGTAAAAACTGAAAAATAGGTAACTAAAAAGGTACTAAAAAAAAGCATTTTAGGTTAAAAAAACAGCATTTTAGTTAAAAAAATAACTAGGGATGGGATATTTAGGTAGTAAAAACTGAAAAATAGGTAACTAAAAAGGTACTAAAAAAAAGCATTTTAGGTTAAAAAAACAGCATTTTAGTTAAAAAAAATCATTAAAAGTTTAAGTTTCGTTTATAATTTTGTTTAGCCGCATACCCAAACACAGAACACACCCACAATAATCTATTTCCATGCAATAAACTGTGTTTTACTGAGTGACACTCACTACACAGAAGTTCTATGACAGAACATAAGCTCACTAGTAGTGAGTCACTACAAAGAAGGTAACTGTAAAGAAAGTTACAGTCTGTAACCATAAGAAAAAAATCTATACCGTTGAGTTGCACGCCCTGGATAAAATATTGGCGCAAATTTTAAAAATAACAACAAAAAAATAAAATAAGTAAAAATACGTAAAAATAGGTAACAAATATGTGAAAATAAACTGACAATTTAAAAAATATGTAACAAAAGTATAAAAAGGTAGTTTAAAGCAAAAACCTCCAAAAAAGGTAAAAAAGGTGAAAAAAGTTTAAAAAAATAGGTAACAAAAGTATAAAAAAGGTAGTTAAAAGCAAAAACCTCCAAAAAAGGTAAAAAAGGTGAAAACAAGTTAGGTTCATAAAAAAGAAAATCTTTTAAAACACATTTTGGCATTATTGGTTTTCAAATCGGTTAAAAAAAGGTAAAATAACTAAAATCCCATCCCTACCCATAACCCATTTAACCTCATAACTCAATGTACATCAACCACGTTTGTCAGATATTTAACTTAATATGTACGGTATTTTAATAACCGCATAACTTTAGTCTCTTCAAAGCTAAATGTCTGAGATACGGAACTGTTGGAATTGATGTTGATGGGGTTAAATGGGTTACAAGGTTATGGGTTTAAGTGGTTTATGGGATGGGGTTAAAATGGTTATTGGGTTTAATAGCTTGGGTTTTCAGATCACAATTTCATCCTAAGGATTATATGTTTAAATAGATGATGGGGTTAAGTGGGTCATGGGGTTATGGAGTTAAGTGAGTTTTAGGCTTATAGGGTTTAGGAGCTTGGGTTTTTAGACAACAACTTAATGTTTAGGGTTATATGCGTTTAATAGCTTAAATTATAGATTTTTTGAGGTTATATCAAAATCTTGATGTGATGGGGTTAAATAGACCTTGGATTCGGATTCAGCGACCCCAAAAACATAAAATAAATATGGTCAGACCCCCAGATCAAAACAAAAAAAAATTTGTGTGGCTGTGTAATTATTATTATAATAATTATTAGGATATATCTTTATTATTTAATAAAAGCAAATCTTGCAGATAAATTGTTATATGTTAAATAATAAAGAAATAGTAATATCAATAATAATAATAAAGAAAAACATAATAAAAAAAATAAAGAACAAACCTATTAAATAAATTAAGGAATACGTAACTCTTTATAATAAAGGAATACATAACTATATTATCTGAAATGCTATATAGTTTTTAAAGAAAAAAAGGTTGCAGCGCCCCCTGGGTGTGAAAAAATAAAACTTTTTTTTTGCTGTGTTATTGTTACCAATAAAAGTAATCTCCTGGAATTCCTTAGTTAATAAATAAGAATAAAGTTGTAAGTGTAATTCAATTTCTTTTAATGCGGTAAACAAAACTTTAAGTTGGCTTCACGGGCGGCAACATCATTTGCAAGTAAATTTTTATATATCAAATTATAAAGGAATATGTATATTATCTGGCTCTGCTATTTAGTTTTTTTGAGCATTGTTGCTTAAGAGAGTTTTTGGTCTTCAAAAAACGTCTATTTTTGAAGAAGAAAAAATTGCAGCGCCACCTATATGTAAAAAATTAAAAAAAATTTTTGGTAGAATTGTAGGTACTAATAAGGGTCATTTATGGACCACATCTCAAAACATTCAGTATTTTAATAAAAAAATTATGCTAATATAATGAAATTATGGCTTTTTGCGAAAGGTAAAATTAAATGGTCTCTGGGAGCCAAAGTTTAGGTCAGATAAAAGAAAAATTTTAGATTTAGGGTGGAATTAGATGTATAAACACAATATTAAAATATATAAAAAATCTGAGATGTGTTATAAAAAAATACCCCAAAATTGTTCGATTCTTTCGCGAAATCATAGTTAAATAGTTAAAGTTTGACTAATTTAAGATCATCTTTGACTATTTCTGAGAGTTAAAACAACAAATTATTTTTTGAGTAAAATGCATACCTATAGACTCCATGCTTAAATGGCCCATAAAAACAGACAAGGATGCAAAAAGTTTACCTTAAACAGCAACACAAAAAATATATTCAACTTTAAAATATTATTAACAACATTTATTGACAAATAAAATTGATTTTATAAAAGTGACTGGTAGCACATTGGTTATGACATCAGCTTAACAAGCTTGACAAGCGAAAAACCCGAGTTCAATCCCGGGTTGGGACAGAACTTTTTTAAATTTAAATCTACTAATTTGACTATTTAATTCTGTAGAATTTGACTAATTATTAGTGACTGCTTTTTTGCCATGACAATTAGTTAAATAAGACTAATAATTAGTTATTTTTGACTAATTCATTTTAAGAGAGAGCAGTTAGGCATAAAAATTAAATCTAATTTTTAATTAAGCGAATAAAATGTGTTTAACAAAAAATAGAAATACTACAAACAGTTTAATTTTACTAAATGAAAAAATTTGAGTTTGGCATAAAAATTAAATATAATTTTAAAATATTTGTTATATTATTAATTTTCAGAACAAAAATTCTTATGTGATATTTTAATTAAAAATATCACTCTACACTGAGAGAAGGTTTCATTTCAGCGAAAGGCATAAAGTTTGTTTCAAACGTATGACATATTTAAATACGGCGGAATATACCAAGGTTTAATGGTAAAAAACCATCACTTTGGCGATTCCGGAAAACTGCTTTTGAACGAAACGCATCTAGATTTGTGTCAAATTTGCTGAGTTTGAATTCTTTGTTGAATACTTTTCTGATAAATTTTTAACTGCTTGCTACTAGTATAGTCGATTTTGTATGAATCGATGTAGGTTTGCCTTAAACTTACTAATTTTAGGACAAATTGGTATCTGCTTGTTAGCAATTAAGTTCATTTCCATTAAACGCACGTGCATTTCTGAAGAAACTACGGTTTCTTTGGAAGAAACAGCATAATGTTTAACAATATTGTATAAATCGTCGGCCTTATCACGAAGTGGCCTAACCCACAAAATTGAAAAACAAAATGAGATTTTTCGCAGATTTCGCAGATTAACAATGGTTTATTCTATTATCAAGAAATGTATTTTTATAGTACAGACTTTAGGCCACCTCGTGGAGTAATAAAATAGACCATCGTAAGTTAACTCTCGCAAAATGTCACTGTTTTCAATTTTGTGGGTTAGGCCACTTCGTGATAAGGCCGACGATTTATACAATCTTTTTAAGCGTTATGCCGTTTCATCCAAATGTTTGCATGGAAGCAAAATTATTTTGTAAGAACCGTATGTATAAGTGGAGGCAAATTTAAAACTTTATAAAACACTGTACGTGCACGAGAAGACGCGTTTCAAGAGGCGTTCCCCCACTCCAAAAATTGCCCTTTCCAAACTAAGCACAATTACCCATTAACTTCGATATGTTTGCCACAAACTTATTAAATTTGTTGCAAATGCTGAGCTTTTCCCAAAAATGGTAGCAGATTTATAATAAGTTTTATCTATTTCAGTTAACCCATTAATAAATTTTAGTGGAAAATATTGCACGTTTTATGAAAACCTACATAAATTTTATTCAAAAGTAAAAAACCCAATCTTAATGACTATCAGTACAAAGTTTGCATAGAACTTAATAATATTCCAAGCAAACACAGCACCCTAAACGAATCAACCATTTCTGGCAAAGCCGTTCACCTATTCGAAGCAAAATCACTAATTTTGAATTAAATTTCAGTTGTTTGATTCAAAGCTATCAGGCTCAAACAATTGCAACGTTTGTTAAAAATATTCTTTTCTCTCAGTGTAGTATTAAAAATAATTCCTGAATAAAAAATAAAACTGCGCTTGCCATGAAAAGCCACGCAAATATAAAAGTTATGTCAAAATTGTTATAACAATATAATATTTGATCTAAACAATAAAAAAATTCTTTTTTCCATAATAATTAATAAAAAAAGTACATAAGAACATGTTTTACAAGTTCTTTTTTAATATGGTTTTTACTTCATTGGTTCTAAATACTATAATAAAAACACATAACTTTAAAATCCCAATTGCATCGTTTCATCTCACATGAAACAAAAAAAAATTAAATCCCATTTCATTCCATTACTAGAGCGCAAGCTCTGCATCGTTTGTAGCAAAGAAAAAATGAAAAAAATAATAAAAAAACTAAATCGATAGATAAAAGTGTACAGAAGAAACAATTTAAGTAAATTTATGCGAAGTAGCTGATAAAGAATTCCCATTCTTGTAGATGCTATTGATTTAGAAGCGACTGATTTATTTTATTGCATTTCCATGTCATCGGATTAATATTTTATGTAAGTGAAAAGTTGTACTTACAATAAAAAATCTTGTTCCCAGCATGGTGTCGCTCCTTTTACGGTCACAGTAGTGGATTTAACGTTTTGAAGTTTCAGTGTTACATATGTGTTGAATTGTGATGCTAAAACAAAATAATGATTAATGATAATACATATTTTAATCATATGGTCCTACAGCTTAAGGGCTTTGTCAAAGCCGCTCTGATATTAAAAAAAAAATTATAGTAATTTAATAACTTTTGCTTTTGCTTTCCAAATTCCATATTCCTGCACCAGAAGGTTAAAAGATGCATTTCGCAACTCTGCTCCTCATTTGTATTAAATTTTAAGGAATTTCATTAGATAAACGTAAATGTGTAGCCTTAAGTCGAGAACTAAATAGATATTCGTCAATACACTGTTTAAAATATCTATGGTGTGGTGTTAATATAACACCATGAATTATGGTTGAAAATGTTTTATACATCAAACACCAAAACGGTGTTTATCTAAAAATATTTGAGAAGTGCAACTACACAGAAAAAAATGAATAGTTCATTTAACTATATTAATTTAGTTGACCCATAAGTATTTATTTAAATCAACTGTGGGAAGGTTAATATAAACAAAGATTAGTTTGACGGTACTAAACCAGATAGTTATTTTTTTTTTTAAGTGGTTAAATTAACCCAGAAAACTTTAGTGAAACCAACCCGCTGTATGGTTCACTTTACTAAATATGTTGTTTGTAAAATAAGAGTTACTTCAACCTAAAGCAATCTGTTAAAACGATTAAAACAATTTGCCGTGCATTCCCGGTTGCATAGTTTGTACCGATCGCGGCAAAGGCGGTGTGGATCACGTGATGTTCTTAAATCTCGCCTCTGTTGACTTACATCAAAAGTATATAAGCTCAGGTAGTTCTTTGCTTTGGTGTGACACTACAAGTTGTTCGATACTAAAGAGACCTTAAATAGGTGGGTCAATACTTGAAGTATTTTAAGTTGGTGGAACGCACTAAAAACATTATCTCTAGCGAGTTGAAGGTTCAATTTTCTGGAATAATACCACTGGTAATATACTTGTAATGCGTCAAGGAACTTCCTGTTTCCTTTTTTTGTGTAGTATGATTTAATTTGACCAAAAACACATATTATTTAACACTGAAAAGGAGTTCAATTTACACCAGGTAACATTTATTTTAATACTGTGTGAAAGTTAAATTTACACCATTTTAGTATTTGAATTTAAACTGGACCAACGAACCATATTTAACACCATTTTGGTTTGTATCGATATAGACCATGTATGGTGTTAATTTGGTGTTAAAATGGTCATGAAATTTTGAACAGTGTAGGCTGAGAAATTAGACTTTTTGTGCTGAGCTCAAAGTTTGAAGGGCAATGCGTAGCGGAGGCCTACAATTCAACGAAGCACAAACAGACACTTCTCAGCCTAGTGACATACAAAATTTTATCTTCAATCCACAGTTTTATTTGTAAAACGATACATATCGCACAATTTTAATAATAATTGGTCAAAAGTAGAAAGTGAGGTTTTTTGCAGGCTAGGAGGTAACACTGCGAAAAAGAGTTTTTCTATACGCAAATATTCATTCGATCATTGGTCAGGTAGCTATGAGTCCTAATTTAACTAAAAAAGTAAAATAAAAAATGGCACTCAAAACAATTGCTGGCGTCAAAATTTATATTTAAGATGCAAATAAATTAAAAAATACAGTTTTTCTCAAATAACACAGTGCAACAGCAAAAAAATGATAGGGTTCTGAAAGTGGTTTTCCTTTCTCCTATCCAAAGAATGCCTTTTTGCGTTTACAGAATATTTAGATTGATTCAGGTTTTTTTTAAATATCTATTTTAAGTTTTATTTATTTTGGAACACGAAAAACCGTTATTTATTAATTTAAACAAATTAACTGGTAGGAAATTGTTGTCATAACAATAAATTAAAAAGAAATAATAAAAAATAAAACAAAAATTAAAAATGGGTGTAAACATGTCACTAAAAGTACATTTGCTCCATGCACATCTTGACCGAAAATCAGCTGTCCTTCGAATCAGAAGAGCATCAAACAATAATGGAAATGGAAAATCGTTATAGAGGAAAGAGGTTTAATTCGATGTTGGCAGATTTTTGTTGGTCTATGGCAATGGAAATTTTGGCATAAAATTTTAAATAAAATTTGTTATATATTTTATGTTGATTCATTCTATTTGTTAAAAAGAATATGTTTTTAATAATTCATATAATAATAATAATAATAATTACCATAATTATTATTATGGTAGAAGCGAAAGAACTAAGAAATTGCACTACAACATATTAAATCCAGAAAAAGGTTAATTTGTTTTAAAAAATTGCATTTTTTTATTTAATTATTTTTTTCTTTATTTGATTCTTATTACTTAATAAAACAATATACAAAACCAATAATTATCTTTATCTTCACGCGGTCTATAATTTAAACTTTATTGTTGTCAACATTCGATAAAGAAATACCTTGTCATGGCCTAGGCCGATAAAAATTTTTATGAGGCAAATAATTAGTTCGATTTTTTCTCGCTAGGGGTATTGTTTTGACAAATTAATCCTTTTCTAAGAAATTAACGTACTAAACTGGTTTAATTTATTTATAATAAGCACTAATTTGTTTGTTTTACTGTTAATGTTTAATATTTTTCATTAAATTATTGTAAAATTAAATATGAATAATAAAACAAAAAGTGAGGTTAGGCAACCAAGAAAACGCACGATTCTTTTTCTACGATTTAAATTATCTTTAAGTTTTAATTTGCTTTAAGTATTCAGTGAAATGAAATGTTAAACACAGCTTAAGCATTCCAAACTACCTATTTTTTAAATAAAAATCCAAACAAATTGAAATTAGATACCTACCTATTTAATAAACAATTAATTGAATTCAATGTAATAGCAAAAATCTATTTCTACTTAAATCATGTTGCTAGGTATTATCAAACTATTACTGCTTCTAAAAGCAATAATAATTATTGTACATTTAATGTAATCTTTAGCTAATAAATAAATGAGATTCTAAAAAAGTGAGATTAGGCCGCTTTGATGTTGAATTAAATTGACCTATATAAAGAGCTTTGAAGATAAAATGTTGTATGCCATTCGGCCAAGAAGTGCCTTTTTGTGCTTCGCTCAATTGTAGGTCTTCGCTACGCCTCGGCCTTCAAACCTTGAGCTTAACACAAAAAGCCTTACTTCTTAACCTAATGACATAAATAACTATTTATGTACTAATTATTTATTGTTTTACCATATTTCGGGATCCAGAATCACTAAAACTTTAAATTGATATTAAAAAAAAAACAGAATCAATCTAAACATTCTGTAAACGTTATAATTCATGATTTTAATTGTAGAAACCGAAAATACTTTCAGAACCCCATCATCTTAATTTTTTCCGAAAATGTTGCACAGTGTAATTTAAAAAGGAACGAACCGACTACAAAAACTAATACACCAAAATGTAGGGATCTGAAAGGTCTTCAAAATAAGGTCACTCGATCCCTCTTCCATTTAAAAATTGCTTAGGGGTTGGTGTAGGGTTAAAATTATAAAAGTAAATTGTCCCCCTAAATTAAAAATATATGTGTGCGGGCGTTTTATATTCTTTTTTACGTAGCACTTAGCACCGGGGTGGAAACCGTTGGCGCACCCTGTATGGTATGTATGAATATGTAACTTGAAATTTTAAGTATAGTTGTTAAATTGTTTACTAAAACAAAAATGTTACGTAGTTAGGCGCATGGATTACAATCGTAATCCAGTCGTCTTTCACATGTGATAACTTATAAGTTATACACAAATACACATATACACTTCGCCTCTTTATTTTACATTAAAAGGGTACTTTGGTATATGTTCTGACAGCTATAGCTGTCAGAACATATATAACAAATATATTCAAGCGCGTGGCACCACCCATAAGCCACGTTTTACTTGGTCACTGCTAAAAAATCTATGGATTACATATGTACATAGTACATAGTACTCCACGCGCCTAATAGATGGTTAAAATATATAATATAATCAATGTTATATTTTACGCAATAATTTCAAAGAAAATTAGAAAAACAAATGGAAATTTACTAAGAGATTTAATAAAAAACAAGTTAAACATGATTTCCCTTATATCCTAAGAATGCCTTTAATAGTAACCTTAAACTTGAATTTCAAGGTAGAATAATTTAAAATATTATCGTAGGAATTTCAGGTTCAACTATCAAAACAAAGAATTCGTGAAATTCCTCAAGCAGTGGAACGTGCTTTTTAACAAGTAAGTAATTCGAAATTCCTTAGCTTTTAAAGGGTTTGTTTGGTTGCTCAAAAACTATTAATATATTACGAAATAAAAATATATTCAAGTGTTCTCGACGACTGAATTATTTCAATTTACAAGTGTTTTTTACGGAATAAATTATAATAACGATGGTGTTAATTCTTTTTATGGAATATAATGGAAGTTAAAATTAATTTAAGTTAATTTAAAGTGTATGGTTCGTAAAATAAATAATAATAACTTTAACACATTTTAAAATATAAGTTAGTTTAAGAATTTAAAACAAAATAAATTTAATAGAATATTAATTTATTAAATAAGTAAAATAATGGCTATATAATCTGGCTTATCTTTATTTGTTTACTAAAATAAAAATAGTATTTGCATTCCACAACTGTCATATGGGGATTTTTTTTTTAAATTCGGGTGTGTTTCACCTCTAAAGGTTCATTATTAATAAATTATTATCCAAGCAAACAGAAGCGAACGAACAAATTCGTTTGATAAAGCTCGTGTAATTTAAGTGGCGCGTTGGAGAACGACTTCCGTTCTAATCGCCATGGCGATTAGAACGGAAGTCGTTCTCCAACTTGGAGACTCCAAGTCGGAGCGTCCGATACGTTTAGGTTTTTCAGCAAATCGTCAAAGCAGTGTTGCCAATTTACCAATTATCCGCCGATTTGCGGACTTTTTCAGAAGTTGGGGGATATTGCTTGTACCATATTTTTTTGATAATTTATTTATTAATTTATATATTTAAAATTTGTACCTTACTTTTTTACCCCACAAATTTTAAATTTGAAGACGAAACAG